AATTTTTATTCAAATTCGCAGTTGGCAAAAGAGAAGGATGGCAATTTGCATTGAACTCAAATTAGTTGTTATATTTGCTTTAGTTATTGAAGGTATAGTTACGAATGAGATTTCTAGTTAAATTTTCTACTACAACCAATTTATTTTTTATTTGAATAGATTATATTAAAATACAATTTAACTACTAAATTTTAAATTTGGATCTGACAATAATATTTGTATAAGCAATTGTGATCTTCATATAGTAATAGTGTAATACCAATTCCGGTTGATCTCGTCACCTTTTATATTTTAACATATAAATGAAATTCTACTTTTCATAAAGAAATTGTGACATTTTTATTTTTATGGAGGTATTAAGTATTTTATTTTAATTTTACTCTTATTAAACTTTTTAATAATTTTTTTCAAAAAGAATGGATAAAAATAAAATTTAGAAGGCTAATGATGGTGTTTTTTATTTTTTATTAATTTTTTATTATGCCATGTAAAAAGTGTAATAACTAAAAATAAATTAAGGTGGTATATAAATAGAAATGACTATTATTGACCTGTTGTGTTTATACAGTTATTGGCTGCTTAGATGATGCAAAGTCGGACCAATCATTTCTACATTTATTTTTTTTTTTACTAACCCTTAGTATAAAAGACATATTAGATTTTGATTAATTTAAAATTGATTTACGTTAGATCTCATAAAAAAATTTTAACACTTATTTTTTTATTTAAAATACTTAAATTTAAAATTTTATTTAAAAAAAAAAACAGAATTTATTTCACTTAAATTAAGAAGATGTTGGGTTTGTACACTGTTCTTAGCATGCTTTTATTGCTTTGGATCAAATTCACGCTTATATATATATATATATATATATATTATTAAATGATATCTTTTCATAAAGATGATGGGTCGACTTCCAATTTTCAATTATTGGAGTATGGGATCACAAATTCGGTCCTACGCTTCTTTATTATTCCCCAACTCCTCATCCTACCTAACGTACTTTCTAAGAAAGGCCTCATTAGTCATTGGTATTGCTAAGGCTCAGATCTGGATAAAAGTAAACTCAAACCCATTGGTGTTATATTGCTTGCTCGGCCCATACATGGTTAAAAGTAAACCCAAACCCATTGGTAGACCAGAGTATTTGGGCTAGAACTGATCTATCATCTGAGCAAGACAAGTAAGCCCAGAACAGACTAACCAAAACCAGAGCACAGGTTCATATTGGAAACCCACGATCATGGGCCATAAATGCGCACCCAGAGTTGTCCCTCCTTTTGTGCTTTTTCTTTTTCATCAAATTCAAAGTAATGTAATTTCTTCAATAAATAATTTAAAAAATTATTTTACAGTTTGAATTATTTTAATTTATAAAATATTAATTTTTGAATCAGAAATTTTTTT